GTGTATAAGTGATTAACTCATATATATATATATATATATATATATATATATATATATAATTTTATGTTATTTTCATAAAAAAAGTTTTTACAATATCATAAATATATTTTTTTTAGCATCGTTTAAAAAAAATCCAACATTCTCGTGGATATATAAATTAAACAACCAATGAAAATATGCCAGTCAGTTGAGTATGATGGTAAATATGATAAATTTATTAATATTAAGTTTAAATTTTATGAAGAAAACAATACAAGTTAAGCTGCAAAATGATAAAGTTAGTATTTATATTTATTATAAAAAATTAATAAATATTTACCATATCTACAAATTATTAATGTTGTAATGTTAAAGTAATTTTTTTCAGAACATGTCTTTATTTTGTGAGTTTAATTTATATATACAGGTCAACTAATAATAAATCACGATAAATATAATTTTAACATAATTATTATAAAATTAATAAATATTTCATAATTATTAGAGTCTGAATATAGTTTGCTTACACTAGACTTTTAATACTATATTTCATTAATTTAAAATAACAAATATCATAAAAATATCTTATACATCAAATTGAATTAATAAATAAAATATCAAATAATTTTAATATTATTTATAACATGACTTTATGATCAATATTGTTTTTGTTTTCAATTTTGATCCAAATGTTATTTTTAGTGATTTTTCAGAATCATTTCAGAATATATTAATTATCCATCTTCACCATCAAAATATAACATTTTCTTTTAATCTAATAATGAAAAATTATTTACTCGTTTGAATAATTAGATTGAGAAAAAATAATATGATGAAAATAGATAGTAATTCTTTTAAAATTACACTTGGTAAAATTTAACCCTTCTCTCTCTATTACATATTATCAAAATATACACATAATATAATTTACTAACACACATATAGTACACTCACTTATTTTTCATACTTAAAAAAATACAATTATTTTAAAATACACTAATAATGTAATTTACTAACATATTCTAATTAAAAATCCTACATATAAAATAAATTTGAACTAGCAGGACTATCTATCCCATGCACCCATTTGGACAAGTTAATATGGAGTAATTAAATCATTGATGTGTTTGAGTTGTCCTATTTTAACCCACCAAGAAATAAACTAGCAATAAGGCAATGATTAATCAAAATGTCAGTTATATATATATATATATATATATATATACTAATAAATAATAATGTGTATGGTGTGTCTCTTCATAGAAATTAGTTAAGAGAGTAATATAATTTAACTTCTGTGTCTTTCACACTTGAGGTTAATGAATAAGTGCACTCTTTCAATCTTTTCTCAAGAGAATGTATCATCTTGAAAATTCTTTGAGATAGTGATATGCTTCAGCCTATACGCTTTTCATGCTTAAGGTTGGTGGACAAGTGTACTCTCTCGACCTTTTTGTTGAGAGAGTGTATACTTGAAAATTTGTAAGAGGATGCTCTAACTTAGTTTCTACGTCTTTCATGTTTGAGGTTGGTGGACAAGTGTACTCTCTCGACCTTTTGCCAATAGAATGTATACTCCTAGAAATTTGCTAAGAGGGTACTCCAATTAGCCTCTACGCCTTTCATGTTTGAGGGTAGTGGACAAATATACCAACTGAACATTTTCCCAATAGGTCTTAATTAAAAGATTGCTTTGACTTAGTCTTTACGCCCTTCGTGTTCAAGGCCGGTGGACAAATGTACCTTCCCTACTTATTGTTAAGAGGGTCTAGGTGAAAGAGATTGGCCAAGTTCCTAATCGAACACCCTATCAATCATATCCCTGTATTTGTAAAACAACTTAACATTTTGTCGATTTGAGACCACATATCTGATACAAAATTTAGTCATTAATGATCATGATTAAGTACCAAAATATGGTGTCTAAATCCACACAAAATCTAAAAAATCCTAGGCCCATGAAGACTAGATGAGTGAGTATAAAATCCCATCTCTAGGACGCTTAATACACCTTTTGAATATTATAACCTTAAACAACAACAAGGTTCTAGTGTATTTTTCATATTGGAATAATATATATACACACACATGTACACATACATACATATTACTTGTGTCTCTAATTATAAGTCCCTTTCAACTATGTTACACCCCTTGAAAAATTAGTTAATTTATTTACGAGCATTAAGATTGTCAGTAATTTAAACAATTTTTTTCAAAATTAATGTTAACATCCCTTAAATTAACACTTTATCTTTTCATTTAATTATTTTCTACCTAATTAATTAATGTTTGGAAGAGAGAAATGTTTTTGTGTCTATTAATAAAAGAAATAATTTTTATTCAATAATTTTTGAATATTTATTATCTTTTGTATATATATTTTCAATAAAATAAAAATATTTTAATCAAAATATATTTAATTAATGCATCAAACAATAAAAGAAAAGATCTTATAACAAAGAATAAATAAAAAAATAAAATAAAATCTTCTATGTAAGAATCAATGTAATATTTATTTATAATATTTTATTTTTGGTTTTATTATCATAGATAAAGTAGTAGAAGTAAGCAATGTAAAAAGCCAAGTTCACAGATAAAAGAGGCAGCGACTAATAAAAACCTAAAATTATTTTATTTAATTTTTTTATTTTTCTTTTTGGTGGATCAGCCTTTAATCTCCTACAAAAATAGTACATAAGCTTACAATTTCAACCCATATTAAAAAGGGATCATCTATCTTTAAGTATTGACATGTTTTTCAGTTATGGGAGGGATATTTTAAGGAAAGTGTCATGTATTTATGGATGTTATTCTCATGGATGTTAATCTTACATGTATAATGACTATATGTAAAATCAAAAATTAGAAGTGTATATGGTTTAATTTTAAAAAAAAAAATCGCTCCAAAATGCACAGTATCGCACTATTTTACTGAACTTAAATTGATTTATGAACTAGTTGAACCACATTAATAAATATGTTTAGAATCAAATAATTTTTATGATCAGAATTAACTCGTAGAGTAATTAATTAGATAAATATATCATAAAAGATTAAATTTTTTTATTAAAAGAAACATTTTTTAAAATAAAAATTTATATAAATAAATTCATTAAAAAGATTGAAGAACTATAATTATTATGTGAAAAATTAATTATAATGCATGATTTGATAATTGACATTTATTTTAACTTTTAAAAAATATAAAAGTTAAATTAAAAGACAAAAACAAAAGAAAAATAAACGTAAACAATGTTAAAACATTTTATGTAATATTGTAAATCATTAAATCATAAGTTTACTTATAATTTAACGATAATATAAAGTTTCTTTACTCTTAATTAATTAAAAATTACTAATGTGTAAAATAATATTTATAAATATTAATAATTTTATCATGCATAATTATTTATGATTAAATAAATAAATATTTATTTATTTATAATATTTATGCCTTTAAAATTAAAATTCCATATAACTGTTTAAAAGTCACGCATGAAATAATTGTTGTTTGATTAACCATATAAAAGATTAAAAAATAAAAATGCCTTTTTCATTTGCTGACATAAATTAGGTGTTTCTAATTATCATATATTGAAAATAGTCTATTAACTTTCTACTTTCAATTAAAAAAGTAACTTATTCCAAAAATAACTTCATTTGGAGCATGATCTGAATAATCATGAAAACTCAAAAAGAAAAAAAAAAATGGACAGCGTACACCGAACACTTTGCCTACAAAATTTAATAAGATTAAAAAATGAAAAGAAAAACAAAAAAAAACAAAACAAAACAAAACATGTGAAAGTTGTTTGTGACGCGCGTTGGAAAGAGCGTGGTGACGGGACCATACAACAACAGCCATCCTTTTGCCTATAACGTAAGATGTACGTTCTACTATTGACTGTTCGTAAAAGCAAGGGGCCGTGACATCCGTTCGGGTAAGCCTGTTTTATCTGCTGCGGTCACCACTATCTGTTATCGAACGCAAAAGGGTATCTTTGTCAAATATTTCCACGTGGAACACTTCCATTTGTCGTTCACCAAATACTTTGTTGTTTTTATATAACATAAAATACCCCCAGCTGTGAAATTTTTCATAAGGCCAAAAATAGAAAGAAATTGACAGCAATAAACAAGGTAATCTCGTGGTAAATGGCAGCGAGAGTCCCGGGAGGATACTGTTTGAAGAATCAAAGATGAATTTATTTTATTAGAAAATTAAAAAATATTATTATTAATGTATCCTAATTAAACCATACATACTATTTTCAACCCCATTATTGCTACAATTAACCTCCTTTAACTCAATTTTTACATAGAAAGAAAAGATGCTAATTTATGAAAATATATTCGGGATATGATAATTTAAGCAAGTAATTACATCTAGTTAAGATTCTTTAATGGATGATAAATGAGATTAATTAAGACTCTGCTGTTTCTTTTACCCTCAGTTTCTCAAGTCTCTCTAACTCCAATTTCACATTCCTGATAATTTAATTTTGCTAACGTAGATAATGAAAAATTACCGTGCTAGCTAGCTAGAAATCTCCGGTTCATGAGACTAATAAAACAATAATAGTAATACAATACTCTTGTAATTACGATTTATGTGATTACAATTACATTAAGGAATAAAATTAAGCCACAATGGATAATAATAAAATAGTAATAAAGTAGGGTAAGTGTGAAATTAAGCAAGTTAGAGATGGTGATACCCATTACCCCACCTCCAACTAAAACACTTATCTTTGTGTTTCTCTCTCATCTTCCTACCATTCTTTCTCTCTAAAGTCTAATCCTACCCTTCTCTCTCTTACTCCAACCTTCTAACGCACGCTTTGAAAGCTTTCCGTAAAGTTTTTCAACCCTCAACCATGTCTATATAAACACCAACAAACGCAGTTTCACGCACTTCACGTTGAGTAATTTTCTCTCCCACCTTCTCACCATGTCCACCGACTTGCACCTCCACCACGAGTTGCCCAAGCTCCGAATCGCCGCCGTCAAACTGGAAGACGCCCCCTCCTCCCCCCGCCGCGAGGTCTCCTCCGTCGTCGACACGCCGCCCGAGGATCAGAATCATGTCGCCGCCGGAGCTACGGCCGGGGCCGCCTCTGCCACCGCTGGCACCGAGGAGGACGAGAGTTATCGCACTCCGACGTCGAAGGAGAGCAGGATTCCGGCGATCATGACGTGCCCGCCGGCCCCGAAGAAGGCGAAGCCGTTCATTTCGTGCAAAAGGAAGCTTCTTGACGAGTTTCAGTTCTTCGAAGTTTCCAATGAGGACATGGATGCGTTTTTCAGATCCACTTTTCCCAAGAGGAGTTGCCCTTGTACATGAAAATTTTCGACACCACACCTTCCACCTTGTCAAACTACGTAAATTACACAATTTTTTTTCTTCTTTTTTCCAACTCCACTTCTTTGTTTTTATTTTGGTTTTTTCATATGTTATATATATTTCACTTTGCGTAAGATGTGAAATATTGGATCCCGAATCGTATATGTTCATTAATCCAATCAACACAGCGTTGAATTATTCTCTCCAACCCATTATCATTTCATTCCTTCAATTCAGTTTGATGGAGGTGTTCTCAATTATGCTCGTTTGTTTTATTAATTGTATGAATCTCATGATGGTTGTTCATACCAGCAGGAAGGGATGATTTTCTGTTTAATTTGTGGGTTTCGCTGATCAAATTGATTCGTTTAGGGTATGCGTTAGAATAATTAATGAATAAATGGAAGAGATAGGGTAGATGAGGTTGGTGGGTTGTGTGACGTAATGGAATTGATCACTGCTATTATTTCAGTAGAACGCATGGAGTTTGTGAAAATTTTGATAGATAGGTTAATTTGCTTGGGGAATCGTTAATTTTTTGGCTATGTGCTTTGACACTTATGCATGTATGTGTATAATAAGGTCAAGTGATTGACACAGCCTTGGGATTGATGAAAGAACTTTTGATTTTGTTTGCAAGGGAGATTGAGGAATGGAATAAATAACAGGAGATGAGAGAGATAAGGGGTGAGACGTGTCATGTACCTTGGCTCATTTTGAAACACTACATGGAGTTTTTGTCTTTTTATTACAAATGTAATATAAATCTAAAAATGGAAGACAATTCTAATATTTTATCAGGCGCCATATTTGAATATTTTCGCTCATCGTGGAATTCTATAATTTTTCTTTGAATTTTTCCAACTCAGTGTGGTGGTGGATTTACTGTGCAGCATCCTTAGTGAAAGAGATATTTGTTCTTTGTTCTTTTGGATGCCAAGTTTTGATCTATCTAATCTATACCAGCTCATCTCACCTAATTAAGAAATAAAAAATTTCTTGTCATTATTTTTTATTTTTTGTACCAATGTGCTAAAACTTCACATTGATTTTTTTTTTCTTTTAATATTTCCTTTATGATCCCCATATGAATATAAGCTTTACAACTATCTTGCTGATAATAATTTTAAGCTAAGAGTAGTTTCCTCGATGTGGGTAAACTACTAATTTGTTTTATGTAAACAACTAATGGCCTGATGATACGTTTCAATTAAAAAAATAAAACAATGCAGCCTCGTGTAAATTATGCAAAGAAAAATATTTCATAAGCTATTATCCAATTTATTGGTTTAATATCATTGTATTTTAAAAAAAGACAATATCTACATTTAAATAAACTACAAATTAAGTCCAACCACATTCTAGAAATTTAAAGTCAACCTTCATTAGTTTTTTTTTTTCAAACTTAAAAACCATTATACCCATTTTCCACATCTTCTTTTTTTTATATATATTTTAATTTGCCTGAGAGACTCTAATATCTGGACATTAAATTATAGATATTAATTCATTTAATTAAATTTGAATGATATAAAGGAGAGATCAAATCAATTACTTCAAAAAAATTTGTTTATAACTAATTCTAGAAATTGTATTATATATTAAATCAAAATTATTTAATGAATTATAAAAAATAATTTTAAAATATTATAAAAAATTTAATCAAATATTTTAGTTCAAATTTTTTATATATAATTAATTCTAGAAATTGTATTATATATTAAATCAGAATTATTTAATGAATTATAAAAAATAATTTTTTAAATATTATAAAAATTGTGAACATTGTTTATTAATCAATAAAATTTTTTAATTTAACAATTAGATTATTAAAATTTAATATAAAAAATTACTAATTAACAGATTATCAATGTTTACTTACATTTCAATTCATTCTTCTACAGATGTGTTCAAAAAATATCATTTGGGATGTGCAATTATCAATTAAGATCAGGGTGTTTGAGATGTTAGATAAGTTAATTTCTAACTTATTTAACAAAATTATAATATTCTTCGAGTAAATTATAAAGCTACTTCAAGCAACTAGTTATTACTTTGTATAAATTTATAACTTATGTTTCTCTTCTATTTTTTTATCCTTACTAATTTATTTTACTTATTTTATATTGGCTGTTTATTCAAATAATAAATTTTGTCGGACACTTCTAATTCTTTGGTACAGACTATAGTATTTTCTATTATAAACAATCATGTTTGAGTTTAATAATAAAAAATTTCTAGAAAATACACTACTAATTCAATAAATTAAATAACTTAATTTCAAGTTTCAACTTTAAATTAGTATTTTATAAGCTTTGAATTACTACTTTATAAGGTAGTTTTGTTTAAGACTTTTAATTAATAACATGTAAAATATTTCCATCAAGTAAGTTATTCATATTTGCAAGCTTAATTGATTGGGCTTTTGTATGATTTGTTATTAATCCTTATACTAACTTTGATTTCCGTGGATAAAAGAAAATATATATTATTTTTCGAGAAACTAAAAAACAAGCATCAATTTGACAAAAAAAAAAGCATGATAAAAGTCAAAACAAGATTTAAATTAAACTTATTAGATTAAAAATATAATTTTGCATATTATTGTCATTGGTTGTTTTATAAGTCGTTGTTTAATTATATAGGTGTTTAATGTTGAAAAGAAAAAAAAATGTATGATGATATAATTTAAATCAAATTTCATATAAATTAGACAACTTTTTTAGGTAACGATATATATACAATAGAGATTTGTTAGTATGTTATCTTGTAATGGAAATTTATTTATATCTCTAAGAACATATGGTCTATCAAAATAAAATAGTGCACGGATTAGAAATTAATTTTTTATTTGCATGAAATTTTATGAATTTGATTCACTTTATAAAAAAAAATCCAATGATCGTATTGATTAATTTTATTCACACAATAAAGTTATTAAGTGATGCATAACACCTTAATGAAATAATATAAATTATATGTAAATGAAATATATATATATAGATATTTTAAATTATAAATAATTATTCTATCAGAAATATATTGTGAATAATTTGATATTAACCCAACGATCATTCACACCAAATTTTAGATAAATCAAATATTAATTTGTAGCTGTGTAATTTTATTTTCAATATTTACTTATATGTTTAAAAATATATTATATTCTAAAATTGAGTTTATTCAATGAAATATCAAATAATGATAATTTTAAGTACCAAATATTAGACATTAAATTAATATGACACGGGATTTAAGCTTTGGATTTAACAAATCAATATGTTTAAAGTAAGATCCAATCGTGTTCTTGCTTTTACTTAACATGGTTGGAGAAAGGACATATTAAGGAGCAAAGACTGAGAATGCATGTTACAGTACGTAGGGTATCTAATTACCATAAGTCTAAAGAGAAAAACTATTTATGCTTTTTTTATGATGAAATTACGAAATTATTAATAACTTTACAGATATACACCTAACTTAATGGTATGTACGCTCTTCTCTCTTTTATACCAAATATATGTATAACGCGTTGGATCTCCTTTAAATTATACTAGTCATTCTTCAAATACAGGTAATACTAAGTTTGATTTATGATGATAATTAAGAAAGAAAAAAACTTTTATCTGAAAGTTTGCTGGTGAAATATTTCCAAGTTCAATGTCTTCCGATAACTCCTTTTTCAAGACAAACTTTTTGTAGCTATATATAACTATATTTTGGAGCGATAGAGTAGATTTTTAAAGAAATCACTTTTTATATATTTTTTTAATATTTTTTTATGGCTACTTTTTCTAGTTTATAAAAAGCACATTAAAATTATTTTATAGTTTGAACTTTATTAAGAAAGGCATAATTATATAAAATTAATGTATTTTAAATTAAAAAAAAAAGTTATTAAAAGAAAGAAATAGAGATATCTCCTTCCGAATGTGATGGTTATTCCTTGTGAAGGTAGATAGATGATAGATGATAGAAAGCAATTAAAGAAATGAAGGTATGGTATTAAGTTTTTGTAGTGTGTAGAAAATGAAAGGATGTGAATTAATAATTTTGTTGGCAAGAGAGGAGCATGTGATGTGGTATGGCTTGATTTTTACGTTTCTTTGTCTTTACTCTTCCATATGTCCTAAAAGGTGGGCGTGACCGTAAAATAATGAGAAAAAGGGTTTAGTGATGGTGGATGGGCAATGGCATCATGTGGAAGCTAAGTTAGGAATGAACCAATTATAAAGAAAGAGAACTTGATCTATAAGCCAGTGTTTGCGAAGAGGTATACTTTATAAGTTGGAAAAGAATAAAGTGGAGGTAAACTATAGTGGCTCAAGTTGAGGAATATACAAGCAGAGAGAGAGATGAAGATGCTATATGCTACATGCTATGTGGTATAATTAATGGAAAAAGAAGGGTAAGGAAGTAAAGCACAAGTTTCAATGAAGATTATCAGCTTTGTTTGAGAAGAGAAAAGAATAATGAGAGGTTGGAAGCATTGGATGCGTCATTGTCACGAAAAGGATTCGAAGAAGGGAGATCCAACGCCAGGTGGGGGCTACAGCATAGAGGATGTTCCTCCTCCAAAATATATACTTCATTACTTCAATTCAATCTATGCTCACCCATACAAATTTTTTACTTACATCTTCATGTCTATGCTATGAAATCCTTACTAACATTTATTTAAATGACTCAAATTCAATTCTACTCTTACATTTATTATTACACTTATAATTATTTAACCTCCATTATTTTTATCATTATATTTATTTAAATAAATAATTTTTCGCCTTATAGTGTATAGTGTATACATAATTAATTTCGATTTGTAAAAGATCACGCTCCTTTTTTTGATAAATAGTAGTAGCTGATGAAGTCATCAAGTTTTTTTTACACAATTTATGGATTCTTTTATACTAAAAATTGTTATAAACTTTATTCTTATATAAATTAATTATATATTTTTTATCATAACTTTAGTTAATTATATATTTTTTTCTCTCTAGTTTGGACTGTATATGATTTTGACCTCTCAGAATTATTAGCAAGACACATGTTGATAAATGGAAGTGTTGCAGCCATGGGAAATTTTGGGTTTGGTGAAGGGTCTTTGTTTCGAATTACAAATTATATCTAACTCTAAATGCATATAATTTCAAGTTTGTCTTGTAGAAAATAGTAATTAACCCTTAGTCATTGTCAAAATGCATAGAGCTTCCATATTCAATCCACGGAATTTTTGGGTGTTGTGATATGATGATCTGTT